AGGAACTGCACCTCCGATCTCGCAGTCCCAAGGAAAGCGCGCCCCGACCGGAGGAGACGACTCTACCCAATACCGATGCGACTGACCCGGCGATTGAGCTGGGGCGGTTTGCACTCAAACCGCGAACCAGTCGAGTGGGCGATCAGGAGTTACCATGGAAGTTGAGTCTGTCCGGACTGGGCGGAGATACTGACGAGCATGATGAGGCTGAAGTGACGGTGGAAGAAAGAGACAGGGCACGGAGGGAGGCCAGCGATGTACTTGTATCTGCCATCACCACTGCCACCACCATCGATCAGCATCCAATGCGGAAACCAAAACCAACACGAGATACCTCATTTGGAGTCTCCCCCTCTTCCCTATCCACAATCCCAGAATCAGTCGCATCTCCGTCAATATTATCCCCGTCTGAACTTCCACATCGCGACAACTCGTCTACGACAGCGCTAGTCTCGTTCTCCGATACTGAATCACGCATCTCTCCACCCCCGTCCCCTACCCCAAACCCGGATACGGGAATCAAGACCGCAAGTTTATGCCGAGAACCTACCTGCACCGATACTCCTCCGACAGCATACCCCATTCCAACCCTCAACACTCCGAAAGAAGCAGGAAACGGAAACAGCACAGCACCCAATGGCCCCACACCCCATACACAGACAAACTCACATCCCCACCGCCCCGCCCCACCCCGGGCCCTCGTCTCCACTCCCATTGAACTCCCCGTCCCCGCAGCAGACGGAGGTGATGATCATGATAGTGATGCTTCCAGTGAACCCGAAATTATCATGTCGAGTACGGCATATCCGGGGCAGGAGTGGAGGCCGGTGGGGTATATGGGATATGAATCGGGGATATAATTTGGGATTCATCACTTGGTTTTATGTATCAGTTGATGCTATGTTTATCTTCTTGCCTTTGGTTTTGATCTGTATAGTGCCAGTGCAGCTAGGAGTGGGATATGCTTATGCGAATAATGGTGATTGATTGTGATCTTGATGGAGATACCCATGTTCTGTCGTGCTTGTTTTTAGTCAAATAGTTGGTATTGCTACTCATTAATGGTATATTTATTTGCACTTGGTCTGCTAAGTAACTTGGTCGATGCGGACTGCTCTTATTTACTACTGTTACTCCTAATTGTGATAGTGGCTGTACGAAGCTGCTATGCAAAAATGTCTAATCAATCCTTTGCAGCAAATAGTCGAATCCAAATGAGGCTGCAGCCAAGAGGCTAAGTTGTACGCTATCGAACAAGATTTAGCAACCCAGCTAACAGAACCGGCAGCAGAACACATACCATTGATTTATACTAGAGTAAACTCCTCTTCGACCAATAATCCCTTATTCATCTGCTCGATTGCTTCCCCATCCATGATGCCATGCACATAACTCTCACCAACGAAGATATAGTTATCCCCTTGCTTGCGTAGGATGACAGGAACAGAGCAACCAAAAAGAACACATATGAGGTCTCCTGCCTGAGTCTTTGGTGGTACAAGACCTATGTAACCCTTTGAGGAGATTATCAGTCGACGGTATGAGGTTGCCCTGGTAATAGTCGAATCAAATATTGACGCGTAAGTGCAGTACATCTCTAAGAAATGCTCGCCAAGGACATCGCCAGTATCATCTTCTTCGGAGATTTTATAACGTGATGCAGACACGCCTTTGACAAGTTCGTCGAGATAAAGGGGCTCAAGGGGATCTGATTTTCTGTAGCCAATGGCTATTGTATCTGCCATCAGTGTTCGAAAGTATGCATCGGCCAACGAGCCCCCGCCCACGTAGTTACAGCCATCTCTCAACTCCCTCGCCTTTTTCATTACTTTGATGGCCATCGACACATAAGCCTTCATTTCCGTATGCATATTCGACCCAAATCCATTCATCGGCACGGAATATCGAAATTTGTGAGCCGCATATCTCCAGCTTGACAGTTCCGAAATATGAGATGCGCCCTCAAAATAAGACATTAAGAGGGTCACCCACGGATCACATCTCGATGATGCCCATTGCTCATGTTTCTCGGGCTGGTATGTTGCCGCTAGGCAATCAATGGTGTCGACCGAAGTGCCCACAACGCTTAAGGCCGGTGGGTTGAGATGAACTCTGAATCGAGGCGACAGTGACCGAGATGCGTCATAGTCGGATGCGAAACTAGACGAAAGGTCTCTTGCCTCTAATTGCTCCCCACCTGCATATAAGCAAACCAAGGGGTTCGCAGTCTTGGATCTTTCGCTCGAGTAAACATCCCAGTCAGGTACCCAAGATGGCCACTGGGGTTTCTCACTTCCTTGGCTTAAGGATATAACATCCAGGCTACCATTCCTGATAGACTGCTCTACAAGGCAAAGACACACAACCAGTAGTGTGTTATTCACAGAATAGTCAGGATATATAGGGTATTCCGGAAAGCCACGTACCAAGCCAAGGAGGCTGAATATCTTGTCCCTGGGATCCGTTGACTGCTGCCGTCTATTCCAAGCAACGAGTTGCGTAAGTGATATCTCATGGCCTCTCTTGGTCGCATCCCTCATTATCTGGATCTTCAGCAGTTTTTCAAGCTCCCCGGCCGAGACTCGGACAGGAAATCGAAGGTGTGTGCCCTTGTATTCAGTAATGGTAAGCCACCACAAGGACTCCCACGCAATTTCGTGATTTCCACATTTCACTAGTAGTTCCGTAGATACCACGGCCTCTTGAAGCACCCATGCTCTGGTCCACCAGGGTCGTCTCAATATGTCTGTTGCCAGGAATTCCAAGCTGTGCGATCGATCTTCGTTGTGAATAAAATCTCTCAGGCGCACCACATTCTCTTGTGCAAGCGAACCTGTGTAGCTTTCATCGTGAAACTTTCGAGCGAGATCAAATAGTGACTCGACACGTTCATCCCCATCACCGAGCCATATAACGGTCAAGGTACTTCCCTGATAGATATCACGCATGAAGCCCACTTGTGAAGCGCGCTCTTCCAGGTCTAGCTGATTGATGCATATCGCATCAATCCACATAGTCCGTGGAGTGTCACGGCGTAGATGACGGAGTGCTGATTCGAGGTTCACCGTGGCGTTGAAGGTCATTCCATTCACTATAATATCCTTTGTATTTGTAACATCTCCCCAGACATAGGATAGAGTTTCATAGGGCCCTGATTTGGCTAGTGATGATTGTCGAAGTGTGCACTGTATGTCATCTGTCCATCCACCAGGTCTGATAGTAACGAGACGGATTTGTTTCACTGTAGGGTCTAGTTTATGGTACAATTCCTGGGATTGTGACATAGTTGAAGCCAAGTTCTGACCCATATTGGTGGCGGTTTGTTGTGGAGAGAGGAACAAGTGGGCTGAAGGGGAAGAGCGGCACGTTGCATCCATTATGTCTTTAACGCAGGAACTGTAGCCTGGCGTGTCTGACCCCACTTTCCTGCAGCTTGAAGGCACTAAGTTACTATCATAGGATTATTCACGATACATAAAAACGCGCTTCTGTCTGGTTTATTTGGTATAATTCGAAAAACTAATCACTCTGTTTTATCTGTTCCTGCTATTTGTGTTGCTCAATTTTGCCTTGCCTACTTTTAGACCTGGCTGTCAAGGAAGCTCATCTGGCAACAGTCATCTTGCCCATCGGTCATTTCTTAAGTCTATGGCTATCACGGGCTGGAGGGTTCCTAGTAGCTAGGTTCATAGCCATCATGGTGACTCAAAAGCATCGCTTGCGACTACGCAACATTACAGTCTCCTCTCGTGTTGGCTGTGTTGAGCGTAAGATATTGAGGCATCTATGCACTGCCGCAGCATTCTGCAGGGCAATCCGGTACCGAAAGTTTGAAAACCACTGATTGATATTGAACTTGTAACGCACTTTAGGTTCGCCCAGCCGGATATTCAGACAGATTCGTAGACTTCTCCGACCCACAGCCCCGTTCAGGGTCCAGTGCCCATCGCGTTAGTCGTGCCAGATGCACGAGTCTTCTAGTACGCATCTCTATCTACAGTACGACTACGCTGGTTATACTTTATACTACCTCTAATCGGTCTAACTGATAGTTGGACTAGTTTAGCTCCCGGAAGTTTGATGTCTAATCAACACACCCAGTAGTGTTTGGTGGCTAATCAAAGCAATCAATTGCTCAATTCACGTATCAATGGCAGTGCGGTCTGCTATCACTCCAAACACGATATTTTCTACAGACAAAAGGCCTAATACTCCATACAGCAGCCAAGTCTAGCGCTGCGAATGAGTGACTGCACCATGGACGTGGTCATACATAAAGCCGAGACTTGTATTGAAAGACAGAGATTGCCGATCCCGCTGATCATTATCGAACTCATCCACTGAACTCCGTTCGTTCCCCGCAGTATCTCTCCAGTATTTAGGGCTTGCCAAATGCCAACGGGCGCGGATTACCCCAAGTATCAGAAGGCAGGAAACGCCAAGCACCAGCATGCTTCCGTGCGAACAGATAATGCACAAAATGAGTGGAGAAGGGTGGCATGGCGGGCCACTGGTTTCCACCCTCGAAGGTTATGTCACGGAGGCCGAGAACCATGGGCGGGACAACATTCTATTTATGGTTTTTGTTATTGGTTAACAAAGTACTTCCTTACCAGATACAGTGGATAAAGTGACTCACCTTATCCTGTTTGCCCGCTTCAGCTTCACATTCTTTGTAAACCTTGAGCAAAGCAGGCCCGTCATAAGGTTCCATGCTCATGAGGCTGGTGATTTCATTGGCCAGATGCTCGCGAAAACTAGGCGCCATCTGCTCGATTAAGCTGCGCACGGTCGAGGCTTTGTATTCAGCGGGCTTGGTGTCAGTCCCGTACGCGAGGAGCTGCTTCAGGATGGGTTGGAAGGCGTGGTGCTCGTTAACGTTTCCTTCGAGGAAATTGGGCTTCTTCATCACCCCTTCGAATTGAGGAAACATCTGTTCTTCTTCCAAGGTGTGGTGGTGGGATACCCAGCCGGCCCAGCTGCGGAGGAAGACTAGGTAATCGGCGATGTCTTGTGATTCGGTTATCTGCTCAGCTTGCAGATAGAGGGCGTTTAGGCCCCGAAGCATAGCGTTATGGGCGAAGGCCATCTCATTGGCGATGTAGAGAGCCTCATGTTTGGACTGTTGATTGTTAACTTTGCTTTTGTGATGTCGGTTTTTCCGCCTTTCCAGATGGCACCAGAATAGGAGATTTGGGGGCGGACGTGACCGAGGTACTACTTACAATATCCTGTGTTTTGGACGGTGTTTCGACCAACGGCCAAGGGCCATCGGCCCAAGGACGGGAGGTAGTGCCAGTAGCGGGAGCCATATTTCAGCGGTATGCTAGTGAGTGACAGCCGTTGACATTAAAGCTGTTAAATATCGCGAGAGAGAAAGAGGGTCAAAGAAAGAGAGGGACCTTGGGATTGAGACTCCAGAGGTGGCTAGCTAGTTGATCCTTATGCAGCCTAGTTTAGTGCCTGAGTAATAGGCTGGCTTCTGTTGCTCTGACCTGCCCCCGCCTCGAATGGCGCCTTGCTAAGACCAAAAGCTAATGTCGCACGTAAGATTATAGTACGACACCTCACAAAGAACATTATAAACTAGTATAGCTCGGATTGGCCCGTTCGGGTAAAATTCCTGAGACGATCAGCCTGACACTTGTGTTGGAGTGGGATTTGAACGGCTGTTGGGCTACTTCCTATGTGGTCTACTTGGAAGGGCCCTAATACTGAACCCTGGCAAATACCCCTAAAAGGCTCTTTGACATGTCACGCAACGGTCAAATTCAACGTTGATGTAGCCTCTAGTTTAATACGTAGACTTCTTCCCACCAGACGGAATGCTCCCTTCACGTTCCTTCGCACAACCCCAAGTCCACTTCATCCTCCTACCCTCAACGCAATGGAGACACACCCACACCCTCCATACAAACACCCCATCACCTTCTGGCTCGTATTCCTATCCCTCTGCCTCCTCTCCTTTGTCTCCGCCCTAGACGGCGCCATCATCAGCACTGCTCTCCCCAAAGTAACCACCTCTCTCGGCGGTGAAACAGACTACATCTGGATCGCCAACAGCTTCACCATCGCCCAGACAATCATACAACCATTCCTCGCGCAGCTCTGCGACATTTATGGCCGACGCAACCCCATCCTAATCTCGGTGGCCCTATTCCTCCTAGGCAGCGGCCTAGCGGGCGGCGCCTCCACTGTGGGCCAACTGATCGGCGGCCGCACAGTCCAAGGGCTCGGCTCAGGCGGCATCTACATCCTCGTGGACCTGATCGTATGTGATCTAGTCCCCCAGCGCGAGCGCGGCCAATACCTAGGCATCGTACTATCTCTCGCAGCTGTAGGCGCCGTCCTAGGCCCTGTGCTCGGCGGCGCCCTCGCCCAAGCCAATTGGCGCTGGGTCTTCTACCTCAACCTGCCCCTCGCCGGGCCCGTACTTCTGTTCATGCTCTTCTTCCTGCGTCTTGATGTCCCCCAACCCTCTTCCTCCCCCTCCCTCCTCCGTATCGACTGGCCCGGCAACATCCTCTTCGCCGGCTGCATCCTCTCCCAACTCCTCGCGCTCGTCGGCGGCGGCACCCTCCACCCCTGGTCCTCCCCCTCAACCCTCATCCCCCTGATAATCGGCATCGCGGGCTGGATTCTCTTCCACATCTACGAAGCCCTCCCTGCCCGATGGTGTCCCCATCCCTGCATGCCGCCCCACCTCTTCGCCACCCGTAACAGCCTCCTCGGCTTCGTCCTCGCCTTCGACGCCGCCCTCCTCATGCAATGGACCCTCTACTTTCTCCCTATCTACTTCCAGGGAGTACAGCGCAAGTCCCCGCTAACATCAGGAATTGACCTCCTCCCCTGCAGTGCCTTCCTCATCCCCTTCGCCATGGTCGCCGGCACCATCATGTCCCGCACGGGGCTGTGCCGCCCACTGCACTTCATCGGCTTCGCGGCCCTCTCTCTCGCGTTAGGCCTCTTCACTCCGCTCTCCGCACACTCTCCCCGCGCAGCATGGGTATGTGTCCAGCTCCCCGCTGCACTAGGCCAGGGCTTCCTAGCCACGACTATCCTCCCTGCTATTCAATCTTCCCTGGGGCCCAACGATATCGCTAGTTCTACGGGCGTGTATGCGTTCCTGCGCTCGCTGGCGTTTGTGTGGGGATCTACGGCACCCGGGATTGTGTTTAATGCAAGGGTGGATGTCTATGCGAGGAGGATTACCACTGATGAGAAGCTGAGGGAGAGGTTGCTGGACGGGAGGGCATATGGCGCGGCGGCGGAGTTTGCGGGGAGTTGGGGGGCGGGGCTTGACGTGGTGCAGAGGGAGCAGGTTAGGGAGGTGTATCGGCTGGCGTTGAGGACGGTGTGGTTTGTGGGGTTGGCGTTTGCGTTGGTGGGGGTGGTGGTTGGGTTGGGGATGGGGAGAGTGGTTTTACAGGGGGGGTTGGAGGAGAATGGGTACGGGTTGAAGGAGAAGGGGGATGAAAAGGTTGTGGATGGGAGGGAGGGGAGTAACCGGGTGGAAGAGGTGTTTCATGCTGTAGAAACGGGGAAGAGGGAAGAAACTGGAGGTAGGGCTTGAGATTAAGGTTTAGTGCTTATGTCTCTGCAGATGCATGATTTCGGGGATTTTGTTTATTGTAAGCGGGGATGTAGAGGTAAAAGTTTGAGTGTGGAGATTGTGCAGATATAGAAGTAATAGATGCTTACTGGTAGGCACTAATAGACAGAGGGCCCAAGGCAGATTTCTACAAATGCATGTTTAATAGCGAGGCTCTCTGTGGTCTACATAAGTACTTATAAAACTTCCGCAATGTAGGTTAAGACTCACGCTAGGAAATATACCACAATTTATGATGTAACATACCGTAACCGTCGTGTAGTATGTAGCAAGGCAGATATTCGTCAGATCGGTTTGCCCGACATTGGAGCCAAGGATAGAAGGATGTTAACAATAGGGGCCATATATGGTTCGGTTCGATTCGGAACGTTATCCCTTTCTATAATTCATCAGCCCTTGAAGGGGCCATTGTAATCCGTCTTCATGATGGTTTAAACTCTAGATAAATAGAATGGATACAGTGCAGGGCCAATACGTGAATAATGCATGTTAAGGCAGCCGCTTGCCGGAAGCATTTGGTTTCTGACGAGTCGTATTGAAGACAGGATTGCAAATTACCATGCCGAAACATAGGAGACAGAGACGCCGACTGGAACCTCTAGAGCTTATTGCCAGTATCTCTTACCTTCTCGCCTCGCCGCCAATACAGAAACCAAACAGTAACCACATCCAGAACCAGCACAGGAACAATTCCCAGACACCTATCCACCGCTTCCTCCGTCCATCCATCACCATAGTAGGCATGCCAAGCTACAATGGGGAACGTAACAAGATGCATGGCAATAAAGCCCGTAAGTTGAATAGTGATATTATTCGACATGCCGAAGAAGTAGAGCTGGATCCACACGATCATGCAGGTTCCTAGCCCGTCATATAGACTATCCCAGAAGGGACTCCATTCTGGGGATGGGATCAGGTAGTAGGAGATGGTTTCACAGAGGGACTGGATGGTGGTTGATATCATTTTCAGTTGTTGGGGTACATTGGTGTGGTGGTGACTTTTGTAGGAGGTTGTATATGTGGTCTTGAGGATGGGAAGTTTGGGATAGATGAGTGGCTGCTATGGGCTGTAGGGGGGAAGAGGCACTATTTTTAAAGCTAGATGGCTGAGCTAGAACCCTGAAAGCTCTGTGGTAGGGCTGGAATTGTAGGTTTTTTATGGAGTACGGATGGATCCTTGCTGTGGGTTAGGCCGAAACTTGGCAAATCGGCGGCTGCACTGTGAATCAATATCACATTGGAGGCTCAATAGACCGTCCACCGGCAATACGTCGGGTCGATTGGGTTCAGTTCCGATGGACATACTCCGTAGGAGGTATTTTTATGATGAAATAGTATTCATCAGTGAGTATGAAGAGCTCGTGACAAAGGTTTGAGCCCAGAAATCTAGTGAGCAATAATAACAGCGGAGTGTTCTCTATTGCTTTCATATAGAGCATACCATAGAGGAGAAGTACATATACATCTATATCCCTTTATACAGTCCAAGCCCCAACAAGGCTCAACTAGCCATCTCAGGCCTGTTTATCCCTCGAACACATTCTGACTCAACTCCACTCCCATATCCTTTGCCATCCCCTGCATCTGCGCCTCAATGCTATCCTCCATACCTCCACCAAGTCTCAAGAACTGCCGCACCTTCGTTAACCAGAAGAACAAGTCTGTGCTGAACAGGACCACGCGGAACAACAGGTGGCGACCGAAGTTTCTCAGTCTCTCCGACGCCGACAAGTCCGGAGACTCAACTAGCGCGCGGGACGCCCAAGTGCCTGTGATCTTAATACGGTTGACGGGCGAGCCCAGGAACTGGTTGTTTGCCTGCACGATGCGAAGGTTGCGGCCAATGAAGATCAGTGGGCGGGGCCATTTGGATTCGTCACCGAGGATGTCGCGAATGGCTTTGCGGGCGGCTTGCTGCATTTCGTAGTGGCGCGTGGCACGCTCGGATTTGCTGAGTCCTTTGAAGGAGCGATGCGTCGAGAGATCGCCGCCGCGGTAGGGGCGCATTAGGGTGGCAGAGGCAAAGAGGTCAGCATTCTGGACGCCCCAGCCGCGGACGATAGAGTTAAGGGTGGTGTTGTCGAAGGTGAGGAGAGCTTTCCAAAAGCGGGCGTACTGGTGTCGGAATTCGGTGTCCATGTGAATGTACAGTCCGTGGTCGATAAGGACAAGCTCTGGGTGACCGGAAGGAGTCCGGCGGATAAAGATGTTGCCTGGGTGCGGGTCACAGTGGACTATACCCCAGAGGAACATCTGTGCGGAGAAGAGGTCCACCATAGTAGTCATGACTTCCTTAAGTGATAGGCCTAGACCAGCGCGAGCGTACCCGCCGCGCCAGTGATCGCGCTCGGGCTTAATCTTGGTGGTTAGGCTCGGGTTGCGGGCCACTTTGGCGACAGGATCCTCGGCATTGCGCGCGTCGAGAGGCGTGCCATGGCAGCCTGGGGTGCCGCTACGCCAGCCACCACGCCAGGTCCGCGTGATGGAGTCCTTATCCCAGAGGCGAACACCCTCGATCCACTCGGCGGTCATGACGCGCTTAGAGCTGAGCTCGCGGTGGACCTTGGGAATGTAGACCCGGCCGCGGAGACGGGGCTCTCCGGCGACCAAACGCGCCATGTTCTCGGAGTTGTCGGCCTCATTTTCAAAGTCCGTCTCAAGGGAGAGACGCTCCGACACATAAGGAACCAGGCTGTAGAACGGAATATCAAAGGTGCGGCTATAGATCCAGGCAACGACTCTGTTCTTATTAGCATTTTGTGTGCAATGCTGGGTGCGGGGCGGGAGCTTACTTGAAAGCCCACAGATCCCATTTCAGCTGTTGAGCAATTTCACGTTTCTGGATCTTGATTGCCACCTCACGACCATCCGGAAGACGCGCCCAATGTACCTGTGCTACACTGGCACTCGCGCGCGCAGTCCGCTCCATAACACCCTTTCCGGGCTCACCCGTGAAGGAGACGCCAAAAACCTCCTCAGCCGAGCGGCCAAAGTCCTCGCGGATGACCTTGTCGACATCTTTCCAGTCGTTCTGAGGGGCGTCATCGAACATGCGCGAGAACATTTTCTGAAATTCCGGGGGCAGGATGGCGGACTGCATAGCGATGGCTTGGCCGATTTTCAGGTACAGACCGCCATTGTGACGCAGGAGGTCGGACAGACGCTCAGCATTGCGGGTGTGTACGGCATTGATGTCTCTGGCCAGCGGCGGGTTGGGACGGAAGTTTATCTTGTAATCCAGGGCTACCAGGAGGCCCAAGCTGAAGGTTCGAGCTGTGCGTGTGAGAGACGAGGCGTAGAATTGAGTGTCGAGGACGTAGACGGTCCCAGTGGCTAGCGAAAGGTAGACCAGCCGACGAAGCCATTTACGGGTGCGATCGTAGGTCTTGGCCTTGGTGGGTTTGCCTAGGGAGGCTGGCGATGGGGGAACGAAAGGCTGGTAATGGCCTGCTTGGACATATTGACGGAGTTGCAAGAGAGGCTGACGGGGAGCACGAGGGGAAAGATGGACGCGCGGGCGGGCAAACTGGGAGGGGAGGGAGCGCCAGGCGCGGGGAACGGTGGCCGATGCCATCAGAACAAGGAGACAGGTATAATCGTTGTCATGGCGGGGACGTGTAAGAGGACAGTGAAGTCAATGGCGTGACAATAGCGAGAAGAGGATGTCAAGGAAGCAGAAACCGAGGGAAAACGAAGATGACGTGAGGGCGGAGAAGGAAGTCGGAGAAGGTGACGAATTGCCCGATCGGGCCATTCGGGCGGAGAATCCATCTCATATTGATACCGTTTTCTCCCCGCCTTTTAATTGCTCCTCGAATGGCTTTCAAGCAATGCATGTGTTTCTTAACACAAGATAGATCTCGAAGCACGTATTGATGTGGTGTTCAAATTACTTCCAATATACGCGGTTAAGATAATGGCTGTAGTTGTTCTCTCTAAGATTTTGCTATCAGTCCGGATCACATACTGAAAACTATTTTTGAAACTGTTGGCAGCACCAGTGAAAACCAGTGGATTATGGACATCTCATGCTACTCGAATATCATTTTCAGATCAGATACCATTAGTATTATTGTTCTTCCTACTCCAAGCTTAAGCGCAGTGCAGCGGCGAAACATTACATGATTGAGCCATGTAGGATAGACTGCGAGCGCATTGCAAAGCTGGCATGATTTCCACGAGTACCAGCTTGTCTTTTTATTGCCCATTTGAGATGAGATCAAGGCTTTATGTGAACCTCAAAAGGATGTGTGTGGTGAGCGCAAATTCCAACAGAGCAATCCAGAAGTTCAAGATGCCGTTCCAGCAGAGCGGCCCACTATACACCAATGGGCAACGATAGAAGGGAACCCAGTTGCCAGAAGCAATGTTGTCATGCAGGTCACCCAGTGTGGCACTAGGGGCTTTAACCGATGGTCGAACAGCATGCCCATGATCATGGCAACCTGCATCAGAAACGGCGGGATCGACATGATGATAAGCAAGTATAGTCGCTCAACATCTGTACCAAAGCCGAACAAATCCGGATCACGATCCGACCTATATATGATCGTCCCCAAAAGGACAGCCCCGAGCATGAGTGGAAATGCATAGTGTACATCTTGCCGCAAGCTGAATGACCCAATTGGATGAAGAATTGCCTGGGATGTGGGAGAGCTGGCCGTGCACTCCTGCTGCAAATAGCGGAAATAGACAAGCAGCGCACTTGTGTAATATCGCTCCTTCTCTAATACTGCTTCCACACGCTTTGTAACGACTGAAAGTCATCGATGTTGGAGATGGGGGAGGAAAGAAACTAGCCATGATGAAGAATATAAAATCCAGAAGCATGGAGAAAGGGCCACACAATATGCAGAACCTGTTGATCCATTCGTTGGTATACAGAACTCCGGTTTACTTACCATCATTGCAAGATGTGACTGGGTTTGAGCACGTGCTGATGCTCTGATACTTTTGTGCACCATTTTAGCGGTATAGTGGTGTATTCGCAATGCCACCGCTCTTCACATGATGACTTGAATATCAGGGGCGCTCCAGATCTTATCATCCCTTACTCTGCTCTAGTAGATGTAGTAATTGGCGCTGATGTGAGTAACTAATAATGCGACATGGGGTACATCAAGAGAGCTTGGTCAGTTCTTGACATGATCAGCATACCAAGCATGACCCGCTAAGATAATCAGGTTAACGCTAAGATCTAATCAGTACTACAACTCTTTGTTAATTCTCTCAATCTTCCCTGGTGAACTCTCTTCACAAGTTACCTTGCTGCACTCTGCAAAAAACAATTCGGGAATCTTCTTTGCGCTTCAGAGTGAAATATACCCTTTCAGTTCGTTAACATTCTCATCTATATAAGACATTTCGCTCTCAACTAGAGGGTCTATGGTAAGGCTCGTAGACTGCAGTTTAAAGCTACCCTGGTAACATTGGAGCTGCTGTTTCGATATTGCCACGGACTCGAAATGACCCATAGTAGCAACTCCAGACTAGTCACTCGTCACCTATCCGGTTCCCGGGCGATGGACCTGTTTGGGACTTCAATTGCTATCATGATGTGTGAAGAAAGCCATTACTCCCGATCAAAAAGGAATAAGAACGCACTAGATTCACAAATAGTAGGTTGCTTATTTTTTATTCTCTGGATACTGCCATAAGACTTAATTATACAGTTATTTCATTTTCTTATTTTTCTTTTCTCCTTCTGTTTCTTCTCATACAATGTCTTTGAAGCTGGATCTGCTTTGTATTTTCATATATCAGCTCTTCAATACTATACCATTAATCCAAAAGCCACTTTCGGAGGTGTAACGAGAAAATTGGAAATTAGTCGGATGCCAGACAATGCTGAATATGTTTCATTTTCGCTATCTCATTGACACAAAGCATTTATTGAGTTAATAAGTCCTGAAGAAGCTAAGATCTTATTTGAGGGGAATAAGTAAGCTAATTCATATAAACACCTGATTCAGGATGGAAAAATTGCTTTTTTAAGGAGTTGAAAAGAAAAAGAAAAAGGGGAAGATCTTGGAAAGTAACAACAAGGTCTTTTATACTAGTAGAGATGGAAGAAGGCACCTATTCAAAGGTCTAACCCAGCCATAACAGTAGTAATAATCCTACTTACCCACTCAACAACTCCTCCACCAACATCGCACCCAATTCCCCTCCCAACCCCCGACAAACACCCGCATACTCCCGCATTTTCCCCGGAATAATCACCTCCCACAACTCATCCTTCTGCAACCACTCATACTGCTCGCGACACACCTCCTCCGACGCCAGCGGCAGCAACGTCGGCAAATTAGTTAATGCCGCCCGCACAAACCCTTTCTTGAAACATGTCCCAAACGCCGCCAACGTCTCATCATCCGAGCAGATATCCCGCCCTTGCAACAATGGCCCGCATTGTCGCTTGATTACGTCCGCTACATCGTCGCCTAGCCGCACCATCGCCTCTTCCTGGCGCGGATTATCGACGTGTTTCATGAGGCTGCGCACCGCCGGGAGGAAGGTATTGTTGCGCGTCCAGAGGTCCCAGTGTGGTACGGTGGGTTGGCACCCTTGGTCGCAGATTTCGCGCTGGAATTTGGTAAAGAGATCATTGGGGCGGCCGGTCAGTGCGCCGAGGACACGGATGCAGATGGGGCTGAATTTGGCGGTGATTATGGGGAGGAAGAGGTAGGTGATTAGGAGGGGGAGGATGCGCATGGTGGGTGTGTGTGTGCGGGTGTGGGTAAAGAGTAGTGGTGGTGGTGGTGGTGGGTAGATTCGATGGCGTCCTGCGCGCTGCACGTAAAAACAAGAACCAGTATCAATTATCTCGTAGGCTTCGTCATGGACAAAAAAGAAAAGAAAGAGTTGTTATTGGGAAGCGCCAGCCAGCAAGAAGAGGAGAAAGCAAAACCGCGCAGTGTTTCTCCTCACTCTCCAGGTTTCTTTCCCCTGACTGATCGACACCCCGCAGAAATCAGTCATCCCTCGGCATATCCTGACCTTGCACCTGCTTTCTCATCACATCATCAATCAATCATCAATAGTAAGTGAAAAGCGTAAATTCCCTCATGAACAATTCCAGGGCAATTCCATAGACAAATTATCCAGATGCCGTATATGATCTCTCACATTGACATCATGATCCTCCCGTCCTTAACCCTCGGTCCACCATAACTTATCGCGGCCAGCGCGGGAACACCCGTTCAAAGTTCTGACAGCCACGCTGCAGAATCTGAAATGAAAGGGGAGACGAGAGGAGCAGCTCTGGATCATCGTGACACACAGGAACTAGTCTAGTTAGTGGGTGATGAGCACTTGCAGCAGGCGTCCGATGGTTCGTGCCATTGCATCTGATCTGTCCAACGGATCAGGAGGAGCCTGGTGCATATGATACGGAATGCGGGGATGGCTCGATCCGGACAATTAGGCATCGGCTGCGTGTCGGTCCTGTCTCGGGCTATTAGGAATGGGGAGGTAGTCATGGGATGTATCCATCTGTCTGCCTGTCGGTCAGATCCTCACGGGGCACCTGCAGGGGGTTATGTGGGTGCGGTGGTGGTGGTGGTGGTGGTGATGGTGATGGGTTTCATCCAAACCTCGTCGAACAGGTTCGATCCGCCAGTCATGTTGTGCTGATTAGATTGGGTTTGGTGAATTGGGTTCATCCCTCGTTTGATCGCGGCTTTCATGACCCCGTGTGGGTGGAGTCAGTCGGGAACGAGTGTCTACAGTACGAGTCTACGGCAGATCTTCGTCTCCTGAACCATACTATCTACTCGATATCATTTTGCACATTGGTGAGGATGGATGACCTTGGGGTGTTGTTTCACATGTCTTCATTAGGATTATTATGTTACTCATCTGACCCAGTCAGTCAGGACTAATCAATACCGAAACCGGCCGTGCCTGATTCTCCCTTGCTTCCCATGCCCGAAACTCCTCACTAAGTCCAACCCGAAAAGAAAACTCCCAGTGCAACCGGTGACAATGTAATGTAACACACAGAAAGGAAATGTCTCAGAGAGCGATCCAGCATGCTGGACAATTGATGAGATGATGTTGGTGATAAACAAATGAAACAACCGTCATGCCAGACGGGTATCGCTCAGTAGCTATGCAAGAATTTGGTGGAAAAAATCGTCGTCGAAGAAAAGTCGAAGAAAGGAAAAATAAACGAAGATCAAAAACACGAATGTAAATGAAGGAAGGCATTCAGGCCTGTCGGCGACGTCGCAGTTCGTCGCGGTTGAGTAGTCGCCGAATTCGTGACACAATGCGGCAGGCTGTGGAGTCTGCGCAGACGTTAGCGTGGCTCATATGCACCTTGTCTGACAGATCAGACTGGTTGGATTTGAAATCGGAGGCAACCGATGAAGGACAGGTGCACATACCACTGTTCCTGCGTAGCATTGACTTGGTCGAATAATGCTCCGACGCTTCGTCCACTGAGAGACTGCTGTCATATCCAGCGTAATGGTTGGCCTTGCACCACGGGTACTCGTCGGTTTGGAGCTGAAGAGCCACGACGTGTGGGTAGAGTGTCCCGAGAGGGTAGAGGATCTCTTCGGTGGAAAGTTCGCGCTTCATCTCGAAGCTCTGGCTAGTCTAGAAGGTATCAGTAATGGGTCTCCCATTCCACTGGAACAGTGTCACTCACATAAGGCTCGTAGTTGGTGCGGTAAGGCATGGTGAGCGAGGTAGCGACAGACGAAGTGTGATTGTAAAGGGTAGATAGTGTAGTTGAAAGAGTGGTGGATGAAGAACAATTTCAATCAGTTGCACTGATCAATGCTATTATACACGTTCTGAAAGAGACTTTGTGATGGATGGAGAACGAGTGTCTTCCGTCCGGGAGAAACCTTGATGGTTATATAGCATGAGATAGCGAAGCATGCTGTGGTGGAGGGTGACGGTCAGCCACTCCGTCCGTAATCATTTAGAGTGGGGAAGCTTCAGCGCATGGCAGGGTGACCCTGATTAACGCTGGGCTTGGCTGGCCTAAGATTTCCATTTTTACTATTTTCTTTTTCTTTTTAATCTCTGCAGCCTCCATGGCTGGCGGGCATGTCCACTGTGATGGATCTAATCGCCCGAATGATTTGAGTTTTAGCGGCAGTCATGATCTCATCATATCATAAGCCTGCGGACTAGCGAGCCAGTGATCAGGAAAAAACTGGGACAAATCTGACTAAATCTGACTAGCGTCCTGACGAGCTGGGCCATGTCGGTCCGAGGAGAGAGGCTACGATGAGCGGCTATCCCGATCTCCCAAGTCTAGAATAGACATCCCAGCAAGCAGGTACCTACGAGCATTGTGAGCGCCCACTGAGCGGTTCGGCCAGGTTCGGTCGTCTCCACCCGTCAGGCACGCCAGGTCTGTCTAAACCGGATGAGGAGTAGACTCGAAGCAGCGGCTGAGGCAGGCGAAGGCGGTGGACCCAGGGTTAGCGTGGACGCCGGCCTCAACACGACGCTGGGTCAAAGTCTAGGTTGAGATCAGACCCGGACTGGCTGGTCGCTGCTGATCGACGTCCAATCCACCGGTGTGTCCGATGGGCGATGGGACGCGCTGGCAGGCCTTAGTTCCCTCCCTCCCCCCTCCATATCCCCTTGCATATCGAGAGTCAGGCGCATCGGATCTCCTCCACGTTTGCAGTTCCTGGGGGGTTGCATATGTACGGTGACTATGAAGGTAAGAGCGAGCGCATGCCTGTACCACCCAGGGGGGTGTTTGCAATCACCCGCATAAGCCAAGGTCATCAGGACCATGTGTGAGATTGCGAGAGTTACTACTAGTAGGTAATCATGTGTCATGATTGCGTCGTCTATGGTGCGGGGATGCCAGAGGAGCTGTCACAGATCGGTGTCGACTATTGATTCTCCATTGACTGGGGGGGTGTGAAGAGTGGGCAGAGTAGTCTGGGAGACAACAAGTCGTGGTCGAGGTTAGTCCAGGTCGCCGACGACCAGGACCACCACACTTGGTTTGCGAGCGGTGGGCTTTGACCCAGGACATGGGTAACTCAAGAGTCACTAGATGGGAGACTTACTAAACTCACACGGTCGCATTTTAGTCTATCATTGGCGCCGGTCGCTTTATTAAACGCAATCAACGATAGATTAAACCATGGGTGAGCGGGCTGAGGGGGAGGAGAATAAGCGAAGGAAAAGCAGACCCCGGTGTTCTTGGCCATTCCAAATCCTTTGTGTTAGCGTCGCTGGGGTTGTCCAGGTTCCCGGGATTGCAAATGTGGTTGCAGAGAAACAATGGCCATACATCATTGAGGTAAGAGAATGGCTACTAGTAATAATCTGGTATAGTAGTATCGAGTATGAACCACTAAAGAACTTTTTTAAGACATTCAGGATTGACTTTGTACTCAGTAGTTCCAAACCCTGCGGTTCCTGGGATATATGAAGGCGGTGATTGGGTCGCGGTGCCTGAGCAGTAACCCAATGCGGCAAGACGGTGTACCTCAGGCTCGGGTTTCACAGGGCCTTACAGCCTTAGGCCGGAGTAGGGCTGCACAGCCACTGCGACCCACATGCGCCACATTACGAACTATGCCACTAGTCCTATCATAGTATCACCGTGGCTCGCGTTCTGTGGCTGGAATGCTGTGGCTTGACCCATCCCCGTCAATAGCAGCAAATTCGTGATAGCCTCAGATCCTCGCATGGGCAATAGTTTGCGCGCCAACTCCACCTGCCATGCGGATCCTCGTGAACTTGCTCCCACCGTTCTTGGGCCTTGCATTTCCGCATTCTAATCCCCGATTTTTATCGGTCTGACCGTCGTTTCCCAACATGGAGGAAAGGAGTATAAGGAGGGCCTACCCTCGTGCTTGAGGTCCACCAATTCACCAACCTTTCACCTTCACCCAGATCTCACTCCCCTATTAGAAGTCCATAGCCTGTCAATCATCATATGTCCTTTCCCCGTGGCCATGAACACGAACATGCATATGAACCTATCTCCCTCCGGAAAAGACTCAAGGGCAACTTCACCTCCCTACGTCGAATTTCACGATCCTTTCTCCGCCGCATCTCTGGCATATCAACCTCAAAGTAAGTCCACTGATAAGTCATTCTATCGCCGTGAAGCCATGCCAACCCCTTCCGCAGAACCTCTTTGTCTTAACATGGACACTGAAACCAGTCCTGGTAGACCTGAGCCTCCGGCCTTAGCTGTTCCCATGACACCATCATCTCCAAGCTGGCCTGTCCACCCAGAACCTTGTCAAATTCAGGGTCAAACCTTTATGCGCACAGGCACGGAAGAGGTTCCCGAGCCTACCTCGGACCTTTGTCCGGACCTCCTTGACTCCTGGTACCCGAGATACCTGGCGTGCACGCAGTTCTTTGTTTCCTATGCGCAGCACACCCCGACAGTGCAGTCGCTGGCCGCATTTCTCAACATTCGACTTCCTTGCCAGCAGTCAGGGGCCCAAACAACCCATCCGTCATTACGCGCTTACATTCGGCGCCTCATTGTAACAGCACAGGATAGTCCTGCTGTACTGAGCGCGTTCTTCGGAGAAGACTGGGTCGGGGGAGTGGGGAGCATGATCAAGCAAGAGCGGGTGAACTACTTGTTTACGGCAAAGAGCGGCGGGTGGGCGTCGACAAAGGCGGCGTATGACATTCTGCCGGACGAACAAACGCCATTTTTGCGGCCATTGCGAGCAGCAACAGAGGAAGAATTACGCGAGGCGGAAGCGCGCTGGAGTGAGTGGTTGGCGATGGAGGATTGGATGGTTGGATCGCGCAGTCCGTGGTGAATGTACATTAGCTATGATGGTTTACGATGATGAATCTCCTATGTAAAAATATATTTCCTATGTTTGATTTATTTATTTTCCTAAGCTTCAGTTAATTTGGCAAATTGGATCACTACTATACTTCATACTACAATGTTCATTGTATATTTTATCTACTACTACTACATCCGAATCAATATACATCGCACCCCCAACAACAAACAATATACCCAAAGCAGCTACATACTACAACTCTCCATCATCCACTACATAGTAATCGTCCAAGTTCCAAGACATGCGTCGATCTCTCCACGTAAATCCTGACGACTCCATAATCTACGCGATGTCACAATTCCAAATCACAACCCCATAGATTAATTAAGCTACACCCACATCTCCTTTACCCAAACGGGCATGACGACGACCCGGGAGCATGGGACCTGTCAAAAACGCGACCGACACCGACTCAGGAGAATTCTCCTCCACACAAAATGCACAGAACAAAGGAAAACAATTCCATTCAGGCCCACATGGTGTCGTTGCCCAGAAAGATGAAATCTCTGCTTCAGCGTCAGCCAGCCACCAGCACTCGCAGTTGGCTACCAGCTGCAGACTAGACATGCGACGGAGGCAGCACTAGGGGCGTGTAGTTCGTTTCTAGACGGGATAAAAATAACCGGGCGCAGGAACCCGGGGGTTAAGGATAGATGATGCTGTCAGGGTAGAATTTTTTCAGACTAGACTAGATAGACTAGACTGCATCAATAAATTAACTCTTATTTTAGGAGATTTAATTTTAAGGTAGGCTGTTGATGATGATGTTGTTTTGTTGTTTCAATGCACCGCCACATCGGGGAAGTCGGGGTCCCCGACGGGAGGAATTTTGCACCCTCACGGGCTTGCTTGTTTGTTATCTATCCATCTAACTAGTATCTATCGTGCTCGGGAAGAATGACAAATTCCTCTCTTAGCTTATATACTATCGACTACGTTACTACAATCCCTTAAGCTATATCATATTTTCCCCCCGATTGGGTTAGTTGACGCCTTCGGGCACGTCCGAAATTAACGACTCGTCATATTCAGCCCAATTTTCATGACTCACGCCCTTCAATTAAGGTAACCCGTCAAAGTTGTCATTTTAGAGACTGTTGACACGGACATTTTCCATCTCTCGCGTGGTGATTTCCTTCCATTCTTCCATTGCATTATCAGAATTTCTCCGTCTGGCATCTCTTCCCCCCTGCCACTACCACTCACCATTCCTCCTGAGTACTAGTTACTTCTCCCTATTTACGGGTCTATATCCACTTCCAGTCGATCAAACAGCCAGCCACCTGCCTGGCACACATGCCAGCTGCACTCCCCCCTCCCTCCACACCACTTACAAGGATGTCAACTGCAACCCGGAATTGTGCCCAGGACGAGGCGGATCCCATCATCCATCAGGCCTGTCGCATCGACGAAACATCACCACATTCTGAATGGACCCAGACCCAGCTGCTTCCATTGCTCCGGTCCCATCTCCCTCACTCGCTGCCCCTGCTCCGCCGTATCCAGCATGAGATCGCCCATCCGTCCCCCACTGCAGTTATCCTAACCACATTCCCGGGTCCAGCTCCTGCTCCTCCCGCCTCGTCCTCAGCCTCGCCGCCAGTCTCACCCTCAGCCTCAGGGGAAGGCCGACTTCCTGTTCCAGAACTAGTCTCTAATCCTGGTCTAGTCCCAGTTCCAGGTCCCCGGGTCCCCGACACTTCT